CCAGACAAGAATTTCATTTGTGTTTCAGAAATCTCAGGGATGGTGGCGTGCATGCTATTGGGCCCTGAACAGTGCTGATTTTACACTGTTTTCAACGGGGCTTGAATTAGTGGACTGTACCTTTCATTCCCAGTTTGCGTCATTACACTGGCTATTTTCACACTTTGCCTGGCCCGAAAAAAGATTTTTGTCCTGAAACTAGCTTTTTAAGAGCAGAAATACTGCGGCCTAGACAAGGCGTGGAGCTGACGACATCAATAGTTGCACGGTCAACGTATATACCGCCCTCAATGTCTATCTGTATGTCATTTTACACGACTCGGCCCCGAAAATGGACGGCGGTGATTCGGAGATCTTACTGTCTTCAGATTTTTCCAACCCGGAGCTGGACCTCCAACTTGCATGGCTGAACGAACCCAAGAAAAACCCGGTGGTTAAAGCTGCTCCTGGACTCCTCATATGTATGGTAATCTTTCCAACATTCTTAAAACTTAAGTCTGCATTGTTACAAGTTATGCAACTGACGAGCGTATTGGTTTGCTAATGGCATGGTGATTCATAATTTTTGATAGATTATTTGGCGTACACAGGGATGGGGGTGGGGTCTTAAGTTCTACCTCGGAAGAAATTCTCCCATGGTTCTTTATCTTTAGGCTGTTTATAAGGTGGAAAGGAACACAGCAGATGATTCAGTGTTCGTGGTGGTCTTTTGTTGAAAGTTACTCAAATTTATAACTCCTTAGCAAGTTGGCACAATTGCAGAATACCCCGCCACTCACCTTACCTACCTCGTCCGTGGATACAGAGTCATGCTTCCATCCACAAGGCCCACTTCGTATCCCCGTATCCGCGTAGCCGCTCCCTGGGACCCACATTGGACTTAGAAAATTCTTCCGCCATCCCCATTCACTTTGCTTTGCAGGACGCACAAGGCCCACTTCGTATCCCCATATCCGCTCCCTGGGACCCACATTGGACTTAGATAAGTTTTATTCTTCCCTGATGAGTTGCATTCAAATTCAAGGGAGTGCTTCGTTCTCAAGAATGACTTCAATGCTGTACACAACGCGTACCTGGACGCAGCAAGGATAACCTGGAAGTCGTACAACCTCCACTTGACTACGTAGCCATGGATTTTTAGGGGGGTGTTTCCGCGTGGCAGGGTATTCTGCCATTACTCCCTCAATGTTTTTTCAGCAGAATCAATGAATTTTGTTTCCCCGGCCCCCAAAGTTAACCCCTAGCTGATTACAGACTGAGTTTCCTTCACAGGGAGGATGAATTTTGGTGGGTGAATCGTTGGCCCATCTATAAATGTGTTTGAATCCACGTTCACAAAGAGTACCCACCTCAGTATGCCCTAAGCTCCCCACCACCCATTGCGCCCAAGGTTCAGCAACACTCTTGCTAATTTTTCCATTTTCTGTTTGGCCTCAGGATGAGAAGACGGACTTCTGGCAAAAGTGAGTTCCCTAAGATCACTAGACTCAAACACCCATCTGGATACCTTACTATATTCTGTGCTCTGAGGTTTGGCTGACCGATTGTTCCCTGGTCTGCTTGGTCCAGTCCGGTCCTGTCCAGTCCAGCCCAGTCCTGGTCTTGACTGGTAATGGACAATATGGGTACATTAGCAAAAAATCTGTATTCAGACTGTGATGAATAAGAGCCCTTCGTTTCCTCTCTCCCAAATTTCAGTCAAAATGTTATCAAGGTTATAAACATGCAAGACCTGACCATTAATTGCCCACAACAGAACATACTATGAACCAATGCACGTGCAGGATGACGGTCATGCATTATACATGGAGGTGTCAGAGGTCAAAGTGGTGATGGAGACATCATTCACCCTGAAGGCTGTCAACCAGTTTGACCAGGTCAGTATTGTCATGATGAGGCAGTAGAAGTTCACAGAAGTTCCCAAGAGTGAGTCTTTCACATCAAAAGTGATTAGAAAAATTTAAAAAATAGTGTCCATAACAGTTTTGAATCAATTGTGTATAGCAAGTTATATCTCTGAGGTTGATTTTCATGTTCAGGGATCTCTCACTGAATTGTTTTACGTAATTGAGTCTTCTTGTATCAAAACAACTTTCAAATGCCTTCAAATGCAAAAAACTTACCATACATAGAGACATTTACCGTACCCCCTTTCCATAATCCTACATGTTACATGCATATATCACCATGCTTCTGTTTAACATGGTGTATACCTGTATTTCATGGTGTGAGTGGCACATCGTTCAATTTCTGTTTGTTTATTGTAGGCTGGTCTGCTTGTCCGGTTTGACGAAGATCACTGGATAAAAATGGTAAGAGTGACGACTGGATTTATTGTCCCTTTTGCGGACTCATAAGATGTACACAGACTTGTCTCTGTATGAAAATCACCAAGACATGACCGGTTTCTATGCTCATCTGAATGGAGGTATCTTTGAGAGATGGTGGTTATTTCATAGATGAATGCAGTATTGGAGAAAAAGTCCCTTGCATTGTTAAAATAATTGAGAAACTAATATGAGTGCTTTTCAAATTTAGATAAATGCTTTGTTTGACAAACAAATCCTCGAACATGGCAAAATGACTTTGTCATCTTTGTGAAATGGTAGTGTTTTATTGTTTCATTGATAAAGTTTTTGTTTTGTGCAGTGTGAACATTTTGCTTTGAGCACTGTTTACTGTGTTTCTGTTTATAACCAGCTTAATATTTCTGTCAGGGCATTGAGTTTGTTGATGGGACTTGTCGTCTGAGTTGTGTGGTAACAAACACCTACAGTGATTGGTCAACCCAGGACTGGCCTTTGCTCCGTTTGCATGTCAGGATTTTCAGGCTAAGAAACAACTTTGTGGTAAGTCTGAGATGTACTAAACCAAACCATCATCAATGAGGGATTAAAGGCCTTGTGCACATTTAAAAATGTACAAAAAGACAATAAATCATCATTGATTTACTCCTTTTCAGTTTGTTTGCTTTACGAAGGGGTCACCCAGAAAATTGGTATTCTTTTACTCTTTGAAAAATGATAAAAATATGGATGACTCCAGTATGGATTCCATTGTGATGTTCCACATGAAGCAATACAGGAGGTCAGATGGCAAATCAAGCCACAGATTTTGGACCAATCATGCTTAACCATTCTGGTTTCCGTCCCTCAGGTGGAGGGCTCAGCAGATGGCAAGACATGGTCCATGATGAGGATATGCCACCTCCACGTTCCTGAGACAGCCAGCCTTAAGATGGGCCTGATGGCCTGTGCACCAGCTGGCGGTGGTGGTCAAGTCACGTTTGACAAACTTGTCATCAAGAAATGTAGCGGGTACCATCACACAAACTAACAGAGCTCAGCTTAGGGAAGCTCGAAAGGAGACTAATTCTGCAGCATTTCTGCTGTCTCCAAGCAGTGTCATGGCAGTCTCTAAGTAAGTAATTAATGCACAGATGATCAGGAGTGTGAGGGACTACGGTTATCATGTTAGGGAGGAAAAAACACATTCCATAGCTAAATTCAAAAACCAGAACAGAATAAAGACCCCTAATACTGCTCATCTAATGGCTGACGACAGAAACAGTCGTTGGTTTTGACCTTCAAATACACCCCTGAAAGTCAGAGAATTCTGTGACCCAAGTGAATTTATCAATTCATATTGCATCATGTTAAGCCAAATCAACTATTTTTAAATGCCGCTCCTTTCAGGCTTTCTGTGGTGTTTAATGTGTAATATTTCTTCTCTGGCTTCATGTTTGATTCTCCCACATTAATCTGTGAGAAAAGCGACACCGTTAAACCTCATTAATAACAGCACTTTTAATACAACTCTCTGCTTTACGTCAAGGAAATTTTTAAGTCCCAATGGTTTAAATGGATTTTCATTAGTTTCAATCCTGACAGCACAGGTTTTTTGTTGTAACAAGTGGACCTCTTATTAATGACTTTGTCTGGTATTTGGAATCCTTCTGGAAACCGACTACAGAAAGGCAAACTTCCTTACATTACAACAATGGCTGAAATATCAATGCAAAATTCCAATATGGCATTTAGTGTGCAAAAATTATATTTAATAATTTTGATGTAAATAAAATTTCAGTTATTTTTCTGAAAATAAAAGAAGTACATGTACAATCAAATTCAAAACAGTTCGAGTCATATGTTACGCAAATTTGAAAAGGTTTGATGTTAATGTTTTTCTGTCGGAAAACAAACAAAAGCCATACTTGAGTTACTCAGCAGAGGCTGGGAATGAGGACGGATGAATGACCGACGTCGATGATGATAAATACGCACTTGTGGCAAGAAGATTTAAGTATTTATTTTTACTTCATTATGTCATCACACAAGAGTCATCACACATGAGCATCGACGAACCTGTTAAATGGCCGGCCACTAACTCCCTTATTTTTATTTTTTATTCTTAACGAGCCTCGGCGTTTCATGTTTTTCTCATCCGATTTTTCAGTGTCTGGGATAACTTGTTAAATGCAAGTCTGAAGTTGCAAAGACAATGTCATGGTGTGATTCAGAAAACACTCTCTATACATACTGCAGTAACTGCCTTGTTATAGCACCTCTGGGTGTCATACTTTCATTCATAAACGGTGTAATAAATAACTGTACACACAGGAAATGCAAAGCAAACAATCTACCATAAGACCACTGTTTAACGGAGATGAACGGTCAGCATTAACCGGGCTTGGTCAGGAGAAAAGAAACAAGTGATCGGAGCCTGTTGGTGTCAAAGGAAGTCTTGCTCATCGTCAAAATTGTCTCCAAAATCTGGGGGAAAAATGAGACGAAACAATTACGTTGACTAGGATGAAATAAAATGCCTACGGCTCGTGTACTGCAAAGTAATTCATTGGAAATAGTTTATACTAAATCTTCCCCGTACACACAGCAATGAATTTGGCTGGGTGTTTTGACCATATAACGTCACTTAGGGTTTTGACATTGTATTCGAGGGAGGAAGTGGTTTGAACAATGTAAAGTTACATGAGGTATAATGGAGTTTCCTTTTTATATAAGTAAGAGAAAGAAGTCGTACTTGTTTGAAGAATCGTAAAAGAGACGTGAAAATTATGAGCTTACCATTGAAGAAATTGACGTGGAGATGAATATTGGCGTAGCTAAAAGCCGGTGACATCACTTTGTCGCAACCTTGACTATGATCTCCTAAGACCATGGATCTGATAGAAGGATGGGTCCGCTTCGTTGTTAATCTTCTCGTAGTCTGAAAACTTGCCGATTTGCCGAGAGTTGTGCCTCTCGCCATAATTGCTGATACAGGACGTGACGCCGAGTTCTGTAAGTTATCACCCAAGCCACGATCATGTTTGACTGCCGAATCAGAACCGACATTGTTGGCTTGATAAAGAATCGGTGCACTGGCTGGATGTTTGTTGGATGGGTTAAAAATCTTGGGCATGATGTGAAGACCAGATAGGTCAACAGCTCCGAGAGTGCAGGACGTGTCGGAGAACCCCTCGTCAGACACATCGTTTATGCTCCTGGAGGAGTCGGAGTCTGAGGACACTGGGTAGGTAGAGCTGATGTCAGACATGTCCTCGGAAGAGTTGGACCCGTCGATGTGGTCCAAAAGGGATAGAACAGCGGGTGTCGAGAACTCGTCACACGGCGGGCTTTCGTCGGCTGAAATATCTTCGGAGTCGTAGGTCGCATTCTGATCACACTCATTGCCTAAACTTGAATCCGAGGACAGCACGCGGGCATAGGGTCTTGGAAGAATCCGAGTTGGGCCGATGGAGTCTGACGTGAACGTGTCCTCGCTTCTTTCACAATCGGATAGCGAGAAATCGTTTTGCTCCAACCCAAAATCAGACATTCTAAGCTCTTTCTTTTTAGCGTTAGGGTTACCACATTCTGACATGATATCTTCGGACGTTTGTTTGACCGCGGTGACGAGTTGATGGCGAGACTGCGGCAGTTCGATCGGGAAGAATGCGCGGCAAATCGGGTCGTCGGAACGAACTTTCCTAAATCGAAGGGGTGCCAGAAACTTAATACGGCACCGGGCTCTCTTGTGAATTATAGGCAAGCTGGAAAATTTCCGGTCAGGTCGGAGACCTGTCTGGTGGGCCCTCCTTGATGCAGTCTGGTCGATCTCACGGTTGAGTGCTGAGTGCGATACAGTGGCAAGAGGTTTGCTTGGAGACAAGACACCGGTGATCTCATCACTTTTTGTTTTTTTCCTGATCGCTCCAGCAGCGGACTTCTGTCGTTGTTGGTTTCTCAATGGAAGGAGGACTCGTCCAGGACTGCACGCAAAAGAGGTCAACGAGACTATTTCGATCGCGGAGCCCCTTGCGTGTCTGAGTTTGTCGCCGATCGGTTGTTTGACATCTAATGTCTCAGTTAAATCCGAATCGGATAGCTGTCCGGGGAGTGTTTCTCGGATTGACACTGCTTTCTTTGAAGTAAATAATGACAAGTTGCTGAAGGATTCCTCGCTGCTACTTACGTCCAGTGTTGACCCTGAACTCACAGCACATCCCATTACTGGCACTGGATAGGTTTAAGCTTACTTTCATGATGGTTTATTTCACAGTGGTGTTTAATTTAGCATTAGTAATCTATCGTATTATGGATGTGGGCTAACATGCATGTATGCATGAAAGGCATAAGACCGAGGCCTAACATCACCATGCGCGTAGGAATAAGCACTATTTTATACGCCCGCGTGCGATAATTTTCGCACAGGCTGCGAGGAATAACGATACTTTGGAATCCTGGAATCATGTTTCACGCAGCTCGCAGACTCACACGCAACAAATTCGGTCCAACTCGCCACAGAAGTGTAGGCCCTTTATAAGTATCAAAATCGCCGTATTTGATTTGTTTCCTCTTCTCATTAATTATGAGAGATAGGCCTGCCACAATTTCACCTGCAGTTTTCGTTGTTGGCGCTTTGAATGGTTCTTGAACTAAGGACCTAACTGTATAATTGTTGAGCATTTAAAGTTGAACCGTTTTCAATCCTGTGTAATTATTCGACCGTTGACTCAAAATCAACAACATTGGTATTGCTTCTTACAAAAGGGTTGGGACATCACATGATTCGAAGTTTGAATAATAATAAAAAAGATTCCTTCGAGAGAAGCATGCATGATGCATCAACGGTTGAGTGTCTGCTCTGGAAGGGAAGTTGTTACTAGGTAACGAAGCGCCCTCTTTCGTTCATGCTCGGAGCCAATCAATACATATGCATTGTAATTACATGTTTAAAGCAAGGAATGATTGTAAGTTTCTCAAAAGGCCCCCATGGCCGCAACGTCCGTCAAAGTAAGCTAAACATTTAAATTGAACGGTCTTTAATCCCGGCACCATAACGAGCCTGGTCTGCTATAATTATAGTTTGATCTACCCCTCCCCTTGGCTGCATGAGCATAAATCCTTGGGGAATGGGGGTATATACCCCCCCCCCACAGTTAAAAGGGGGCATGGGCTATTGAATGCACCCGCACACACTTTTTGTGGTGAGCAAGAAATTGAGGCGGATTGTGAAGAATTTTTACGACTAAAATACATTCAATACCACTCAAAAGGGAAAAAACAATTTTGAAAAGCCATATGTATGCCTACATATTACAGATGTACATCAATATCATAGACATCGACTTTTTTATAGAGTCATATGATATCCCCCCGCGTTTTTTTCAAACTTTCATAGCCGGGCAAGTCAACCCCACCCCAATTTCCAACACAAATTTACCCCACTGCTTGGCTGGTCAAAATTAGTGCCATATTCTCAAATTTTGAATCCAGCTTTAGACTGTGTCAAGTTCACTTGCTGGTCGTTGATTTCATGAAGGTTGTACTCGTATTAACTTTAAATTGGCTTTTAAAGCATTCTCCCATTTGGAAGCACTGTGCAGGTGGACAGGCTTAAGTTTCAGTTTTGCAAAGTAACGGTGAAACCATCGTAATCTAAAGTGATTCAAATTAATGTAGAGAAACGGCTAAAACAAAGAAGAATCCATTCACATTCAGCAGTCTTCTCTGTATTCACCTTACCCACATACATGTACATGTACATGTAAATGTGTACTCGCTGTATTGGGTCGCATATGCACGGCCGTACCGTGAGCGCGCATCCACAGTACAAAGTTTACCCCGACACCATGGATACGGCACAATACAATAGCACAGCTAGCACAGTTCACATGCACACGATCCGAGTCTTTAGTGGACTCCCTGTGAGGCAGCTTCTGCTCTGAAAAAAAATCTAGCTAGGAACAATCAGCGCACTGCATATTCATTAGGGTCATTATTTGCCCTAACCTCGGTCTCTACGTGGTTATGTATGATTAAACAAACCGGAACGACAGTCGTGAGGTGGCATAAAACCATGTCCACCGTCCCTCATTGATACTCGTGTGGAATGCAGTGGGGTTGCCATCACTTCATCAACTTAGTCCAAAGCCAGAATTGTACGGATGATATTCGAAGTGCTGGCACATGGTCTATATAGATTTGCCAGATATTCCACACGGTGAGAGATTCTGTCGTTGGTTCAGGCCATTCATCATGAACTAAAACGCGTGGTGTAGGACCTATAGTGTGAGATCGCATCATCGTACACTCTAGGTGCGATTTGGCAAGGAGAAGTTATCAGCACACCGTGCGACTTGGTGAGGGCAGCGGGGTCAGAGGCGGCGAATTCGCGGCGGATCTGCTCAAATTACCAAGGTAGGTCCGGCGATAACCTCGTCAGGTCACAGTGGAGTGGAACGGAGCTAAGCTAGGGTTTCGATGCTGAATCTTGCAATCAAGATTGTAACTCAATACAACATGATCCCATGAACGTGTGTCAGGTGGATGGATTGATCTAAATCCGGCGGTATCCATGAACCTGGTGGGAGGAAAGTTAACGTGAGGTTCTGTTCAAATCATGTACGTGTATTATGGCTCCATTTTAAGCATTTTATGATATTTCCAAGATGTTCAGTCTTAATTGAATGGCTAGTTTACATCTAAATCAACTAACAAAAAGGAGTACATTTATTTTTGCTTATGCACTTATATCTACTTGTGTGTCAGTTGACGTGCGTGTTCTTGCATGTCATATACCGCATGTGCCAAGTCTCATTCAAAGAAAAAAAGTCCCATTCAAGAAAAAAATGCGCCGACAATATCGGAAAAAACTCGAGGGGCGGATTCCGCCCCTGGCTCTTTCAGGGTGAAGAAAGAAGAGTTTAAAGGTGTTTCGAATCATACAAGGGACAATATACTGTACATATACCCACACATGTTTATAGCCTCCCTCAACACCGGAAACAAGACCGTGACCCCGCGAGACGCTCAGGTCGAAGTGAAGAGGGTTAATTTCCTTAGAAATCAAGTTTCACATCAAAATCCACGGGGAGGGAACTGAAGTTATGATATGCACGTGGCTCAAGCAGGTGGCAAAAAACACGGCTGCCTCTGCCAAAAAAGTATTACATTTGTCTGAAACTTTGACGAAAGCTGCATACCTCCTCTTAGGAATTGGGACTTCGAATGAAATCGCGTTTAGTGCTCGATGGACGGATTTTTCTTTTTTGTGGGTTATACGCCCCGACCCCTCCTATCGAATCCAACTAAATGTCGACGTGGGTATGATGTGATCGATACTCAAAGTGCACCATGCGAAAGTTAATACGCGCCATTACCCGCGTCAAGGCTGAGCCATTGAGCAAGTGTGTCGTCATGGGGACAACTGTCGATTCCAAAAAAGTTTTGCTTTGGTTGCGAAAAGTTAATGGGCAGTTCTGCGGGAAAATGGCTCTTTAGTCCTCCCGTCATTTTTCTTTGTCTCTTTCTTTTCTTCTTCGTTATCTTGAAACTCTTGAAACTGGAACTGTGGGATTTCAAAAAGAGCATGACTCATTCGGCACGTTTCTGTTAATTTTCCATCTGTGTGTGTTATGAAGTACAAAATAATAATGCAAAGTATGCATGTGATTTCATAAAAAATGCAGTTTTCTCGGCGAGTATGATTACTTATTTCTCACAATATAGCACATTATACAATTTGAAATATTGTCCTGGACAAGTCTCAAGAGAAAATTATATTATGCTGTTTGCGTGAGTGGCTACTTTAATAATGCATTTGTAAAAGCTGCAGTGCAAGTGATAGTCTATATCTTGGGAGACGTACCATGAGCAAAATGTGCATAATTCGGAAACCTCTCCTCAAAAGTGAAAACTATTCATAAGGTCATGTTGTCCGTTGTTATGTTGCCATAGGTGCAGAAGGTAACAATAAACTTCCTTAATTTGTTTTAACACATAATATTTCGTGGTATCTATAGAAAGAGTCAGATGGTCGATGTTTGTTCAGCTTTGATAGGCGTCGCTAATCTTAACAATTGCAATTCACTACTTGTTTTCATGAAGCCGCACGTTTCAGCGTAGAGTGCCTGCACTCGGCAGTTGCTAGCCATTTCTCGTATGTGAGGAATCGCTGTACGCGTGCGTTCTTTTCCTACCTCCATGAATCAGGTAACGGACGGGACGAAATACTCTGCATAATAATGATTATGGTGACAATTTTAGAAGGATTTGTCCACAATAAATGACCCCAGCTTGAAAATTAGGTTAACTGTAACATAAGCGTGAAATAAGAGCATATTTACGAATTATCGGCACGGATGCGTAAAACCTGGGAATCTCACACTTATAACTGTTTTTCAAAAACAATTTTCGAGTGAGCTTTTTTGGCTAAAATTCGCTGTAGTTTCTGTATCTTTTAGAAAACTCTTTGTATCCAATTAAATTAAAAAGAGCGATCTTTCAAACTGTAGCCGGGATTTTGGTGATTCTTTCTTTTTATGATTCAATCAAAGTATGGAAATGATTTTGATAGGCATGATCGGTATAAAAACGGTATAATAAAGGTCTTGGCCCTCATATAAATGGCTTTATATTATGACCTGTGACCTACACCAAACTCCAGCTACGATTGTGTACTTCACGACGGATGAAACCCGTCGTAATTGAGGAGAGAACCTGGTGTTTACACGTGTTTGCTAAGGACCATTATGTCTGTTTGATCGCCCGAAGAGCCTTGAGTTAACCGGGAGCCCAAATATCGATTGTGTTCACAACAAAAGGACGTCTCCAAGATGACCTAACAAAAGTTGCTGCCGGGTGTTTGTTGGTTGTCTGTGATAGCTCAGTCACGGTTTCTGGGTGTATGATGTATTGCATCATAGAGAGGAAGGACATAACTTGCTGTTTCTTTCTCGACTGTTTGTATTCATCCAAGGCTTGTCCACCTTCATGTACTCTGAAATCGACCTGAATACTTGCGGGTGGACCTTGCAACCACAAGCAATTTTCTTCTCAATATGTAGGATGACATGGAACCTTTCCTTGAACCGACATAGTTGAACTAAATATACAATGTATATACCATTAAAAATTCAATATTTAGGGTCGACTACCGAAAAGAAAATCACAGTTGGGAGTGTGTGTGTATTGACCGAGATTTCTAAGAGGAACAGTGGTGTAGTTAGCCACTATTCACGTGTGTACATGTGCGGGCTATCAAAATGACGTGCGATTACATGTATAAACAATTATATTCACCGGTGAACTTTGATTTCTATACGATATAGCAACATGTTAGACAAGAGAACTACATGGGTTATCGTGTTTGAAAAGCTTGCTGAAATAATTATGCAGATTAATTAGGTTGCACTGCTTAAAGACCTTGTAATCCTCATGCACGAAGACTCTTGATAATCCAACCCATAGGCCCACTGTACTTTGATATTCCGTTTGTACACAATACGAACTTGAATTGTCAAAGTGCAAGGCACAAGACAAATCGTCTGTCTGAAACGTCTGGGGTGTTCAAAATGACAGAATTTAACCCATCACATTTAGCAAGTTATATAAAATCATCGCCAAGTACGACACTGTGTGTTCATTTTACCGTCAAGGCAGTCCGCAAATGACGTTAAATTCATGTCCATTGCGAGCGTGCATTGTTTTAGTCAGGGTGAGTGCCTATTCATTGTGTTCCCGGCCCGGGGGTTTTAGACTTACGTGTACTTGTCTAATCAGTAGCAAGGCGTCCAAAAAACAGACTGGTTTGTTTCCAGCCAGGATCATTTTGCAACACCTGATCCGGGCGATCAGGGAAATGAAATGGATTCCGAAGAACGTAATGAAACAAAGGAGTGTTAAATCCGAAAGAAATCAGAGATGCGGGGGCTGTAACTGCGGTTGGAGTTCAGAACAATCAAGGCACTGTGTATATATTTACTGTTTGCACTTCCGATTGGTAAAATGGAATCTTTCGACGTTTAAAGTGTTTTGAAAGTGGAGAGAAGCTGCAGGAACTTCACCCGGTATCCCCTAAGGAGATGTTGGCTACAGTAATGTTCTGCTGCCTCCAGTAGTGTATGTATAGGACGTGTTATCATCCACAGACATGTACATGTCGTTTGTATCTGGGATTTTTTTTATACTGACTAAAGAAGATTACCCTATCAAGTATCATGTAATTCTGTTGTGTACCTGTAACTGTGTTGAGAGGGCCACCACTTATCATGGAATGTGCAAAGGCAAAGGGGCGCTTTGTCATGTCGTATAGATGCGTATTCCATGCACATCGTGGTAGGAAGAGGCTGCGGAGTACGGATTCACACCATGGAATGGACCAAAAACACGCATTATGCCTGGAAAGGAGAGAAGTTCTAGGTTAAAATGAAGTTAATAATGTTACAGACTTACAGTATGTCTTTGCGGTCATTTGTCACGTGACGTGGCGTGACGACATCGCACAAATAAATGGTAGTCACTAAATGCCGACGTCAGGCATCAAATTCGGCACCGTCATCGATATCACCCGATCACCTCTTGTTTGTAACAACAAAAACGCCCCCCCCCCCTTAGTTTTTACCTTTGTTCGCATCTTCAGTAACTTCAAAATATTCCTCTTTTTCTCAGATCCCTAACATGGCAGACACGGAGATAACTGCGCCATCTGATACAACTCCCGAGATCGACAATTCAACTGAGAACAAAATGGAGGAGACGAACAATAACTCGGAGGAAATGCCCCAAGCAGCTAAGACTCCCGATGGAGGTGAACTGGATGAGTCGACCCCTACTACAGAGGGAGGTGAGCCCGTCGGATCTCAGGAGGATAAACAACAGAATGAGAAACCAGTGGGGGAGGGCACAATCGCTGGCCAAGATGCTGGGGACTCTAAACCAGCATCCGAGGAAAATATACCACAGCCAGGGGGCGATGCTGGGGAGGAAGCGACAAAGGATGAACCGGACGCCCAAGAGACCGATGGCTCACCAGACGCTGCTCCTGCAGAACCTGTAGAGGAGAACGAACCGAAGCAGGAAGAAGAACCAGCTGCGACTTTGGCTAAGTCGGCAGAGGCCAAGGGAGATGGAGTGGGAGAGGAGAACACAGAGAGCAAACAAGAAGATGGGGGTGCTGAAGAAAGGCCCAAAGAGGAAAGTGAGGCTAAGGAGGAATCTGCCCCAGAGAGGGCGGTGGTGGAGGAAGGAGAGGATGAACAGAGTAGTGCACCTGCTGAGGCCGACGCAGCAGCTGAGGAAGAGAAACCTGTAGACGCTGAGGCACCTGCAGAGACAGGCGAGAACGTCGGTGAGAAAGCGCCAGAGGCTGACGCTGCCGAAGCAAAAGCACAAGATCAGTCAGCAGACAATGAACAGACAGTAGACAATTTTTACTCAAACGAGGATGCGAAACAAGAGGACAGAGTAAGCCCTGTCGGTGACACTCAAGAAGAGCACAAGCAGCACACAAGCGGTGAGCCAGAAGAGACAACACCAGCCGTCCAACAAGAAGTGACGCCTGAGGAAGAGGGAGAAACCAGGGCGGAAGATCCCTCCCTCGATACCGAGAGGATCCCCACACCTGTATCCAAAGAGCCAGAGCCCACCCAAGAAACAGCCCAAGAGGCGCAGGTTTCTTCCTCTCCGGAACCCGCTGAAGAGGGCCTCACTGGCTACGAGTTGAAGTACAGAGCCGCCCAGAAAGACATCGAGGAGCTGAGAGCTATGAATGTAGAGATTCAGCAAAGGCTTGCCAAGTCGGAGGAGGAGGCGAGGGAGAGGAAGCAGCGGGCCAATGCAGAGAGCAAAGATGGCATGAAGGTCCAGGCTGACTACCTGGCACGGGAGCTGTCCCAGCAACAGGACACTGAGAAGTTCCTCCGCCAGAAGCTGGCCGAGGTCCTGGAGGAGAAGGAAGAGAGCGAACGCAAGTGCAAGGACCTACAGCTCCGGCTCAAACGCTTCGTCAAGGACGACCAGGCCAAGGATGAGAGGATGATCAAGATGGAGGGGGAGCTTCGCGAGATCTCGCGGGAAGTTGAAGTGCTGGAGGACCACCTGGACCAGGAGACGCTGGCAAAGATCAAGGCAGGACGAGACAGTCGGGCGACCAACGGCGAGGCAACAACCACCCGGACGCAAGACAAGAAAACAGAGACGCCCGCTCCAAAGTCAAAAACATGCGTCATACTTTGATTGGCCAATCCTCAGTCTTGCACACGATTGGCGATTATGACTCTTTTCATCGCACCGTACGTAATTACAGCAGGGTGCTGAATTAATCGCCTTTTTGAATTGACGTAATCCACGTTGATTCCCAACACAAGCCGGCAATCGTTTTCAGCGTTTCTTGCTAATGAGGTTTGCTCGAAAAGTGAGATGACCGGTAGAGATTGGATGCGGTCGAGCTTCATTTCCCTGGAGTAACGCTCACCAGGTTGATAGTGTGTTTGAAATTACATGATACAACTTTACCCAGCATCATTCTAGCAGACGTTTGTCATCTTGACAAAAAAACAGTCCACTGTTTTCATGTCTTGTCAGGATGGCATTGTGTCTTTTCCGTCGCATACAAAGTGAACACTGTGTTGCTTGGTTTTATTTTGATCAACGTGCAGACCTACATACATCATTCGGGGTCGATTTTCTCAAATTTCTTTCTGAAAACCTTTGAGATATGACTATACATATAATCAGTTTGTTTTCGTTCATAACAAATTACGTTACTTTATTACCACTTCTCGTTATCTCGGTTTATGGTTTTGTGGCTTGTCGTTTCAAGTGGAAGTATTTGCAGTGAGCTCTAAACAGCCGTTTTATTAAGATTTTACAGTGTATGGTGCCGGTTACAGTGACATAAAATAGGCCTAATTGCTTTGAGTCGTTAGAATTTTTTAATTAATCAAGAATTTGCCCCATGAGAGGAAAGTGTTTTCAGTGTACGTTCAATGCATGCATGACGGCATGTTTAAGATCAACTTTGCTTGATAGGACTGAATCCCAGACGTACGTCTCAACATTCTTCATACCTTGGACAGCTTCTTATGGTAAAACTGAGAGCTGCATTTAGTCTGGTTTAAACATTACTTGGCGCGAATACTTGGCGCGAAAGCAAACATGGAGCGAGCATGACAACGCATGATCAAATATTTGTGCCGCGAGTTGGCAACAGTTGAAGACATCCAACTTCGTACGCTTCGCGTTTGCTGGAGCCTTGAAGTATGAACCGGACATTAGTTACTTGCACTCTGCCAATCGACGAAAACTGCGTTCCGTGATGTATTACACAACGCAGGAATTTTGCTGGGGACCACAGACATGATTTTTCAAAATACAGGGTATTTTATCAGTTGTCTCTGCTGATATGGACGTGTAGAGTATTTGTACTGCTGGCGTATTCAGGTGTTCTGTTGGGGATCGTGATTTTTTTTAATCGTCTACCAAAGTTTCTCATCCGTAAAATACCCCCCTCCAAAAATATCGTTCAAAAATGCTAACGCATTCAGTTCCTAATAAATGAATAAATATATACACGTACCCGTAAAAACTGGTAATCTGTCTTGGCTTGGGCGACCTGCCCCCGCTGGATACGCCGCTGCATTGTGCAGCTGTCGATCGACAAATCCAATCGCAGCGATGATCCCCTTCATTGGCTAAAGACACTGCGATAGGTGTTCCGTGGTATCGAATCTATCTCAGTACACGTGTATTCGCCGTCATCGAAGGTTGACAAGGTTGCTGGCTTCGTCTATATGCTGCAACATAGCATCAGTGAACTTAAGACACAAGCCGGGACTTCTTGGGCTGACGTCAGCGGTGCTAGTCAGTGTGTTTGTTTATGATTTTGCGTACAGTTTCGAAAGGATTAATGTCATTCAGATTACATGGTTGATATCAACCTCGTTATTAAAATTATCTTTCCCTCTCATGTAACTTTTCAAGTATTGATTGTTGTAAATCTTGTGGTTCTGACAAGAAGGCATCATCGGCCGGAAAATAAGTTGATTTCATCGCTACCTCCTCCAGAATTGGTTTCAGATGGAATGTGTATTTTCTAGACGTAATTTGCATGTAATGGTTCAGAATAAGCATTTTTGAATCTGTAAGACTCTGTTTGGAATTATCTAAACTTTTTTGATTTTATACAGCTTTCGTGGATGGTTGACGTAAATGGACATTAACGCTGTGGCGATATAATTAACTCACCAATTTGTCTAAATTTGTTTAAGTTTTTATAAACTCAATTGTTTGAAATTATTTCATTTTAATGACTTGGGTTACGGCGGGCGGAATTTCAACAGAACATAAGAAGCCTTTACACTGCAAAACTGTGATGTTAAACTGGTCTTAATCTAACACTCTGGGTGTTACCAGAGAACTACACCCAGGGTACTAAAAGACATCACAGAATTTGAAGTGTACAGTCAACCAGGCAACAGTGCCTGTCACGGGTGTTTTTGTGTGCTATAAAAAATTCACTGTGTGTCCTTGAAGCTAAATTATTTTCGGAGAACTTCTGTCGATGTACAGATATCTTTATCAATGATTCATGACATTTTGTTGTGTGGTTGTTGTGTGGTGTCTCGTATGTCAATTAAGGCATGATTAACTACTTTTGCTTTGGGAATCTAAACTTACAAAGGGTGTGACAAAGAACAAATTTTTGAGTTTTCCAAAGGAAAATCCATTGATAATAACTATGCATAGATTTTAATGTTAAATAAACAGACATTTTGTACATACGTAAATTTTCTTACTTATGGAAAAATAATACACTGTACATAATTATGTTCAACGTAAAATCTTCGAATTCCCTTCAATGTTTCGAAACAAAACAGCGCATATCTCGGTTACAGAAATCTTGTAATTTTCTCCTTCGTGGTAAAACATCAGTTAACAAAATTAATTATGTAATTTGTAAATCATGTAATTTGTAAACGTCTTGTTTAATATCAGAGTTAATTTTCTAACAGTGATCATGAGCCCCAAATTAAAGGGGATTGTGACAGTTAATTCTCAATGATGAAGGCTTTCCTGCCGTTTTTTTTGACGGAAAAATAAAGATGACTTCATATACAAAGTGCAATGTTTTTCCACTGTTTTTAAATTTTCCTGCGTGGAATTGATTAATATTCATCCGTAGGAGTTGTCGAAGAGTTTGAATTAGAGGAGGTAAAATGGAGAAGGGAGGGGCTACAAGGGTGACCTTTAATATTCTGTTCTGAAATGTTATACATTCATACACATCAATGTTCACCTTATTATCCGAGAGACACACAGCCGCTGCTCCCATTATAGTCGATCCCGGAATAATAATTTACACACTACTAATATCTAACTTTTGACAAGGATTATTGAGGAACTGCTCTTCTGGGCAGTCCCCAGATTTATTATAACAATTCATTAAGGCCAATTTGTGACGTTCTTGGTGTGACAGCGAACACGAATATGCGGTAGTGCCAGGTTTGATTAAAAATTGGCAAGTTTGCTGAAATGTTCTCTGACGTGGAATTCGACACATCCAAGCCGACAGTTACGCAAATTACACGAATGATATACATGTACTTGTATACCGGTGGGAAATGATGTAAAAGCGACCCCCCCCCCAATGCAACAAAATTGTAAACAAAATGCAAGTACATGTACATGCATATACATCTCTCCATTCGATTCAGTAGGTAATGGTCAAATTGACTGAGAAACCTAATATATTTTTCATCTCCGGTAATTAAGATAACATAATACAATCGAGGCTATTATTATTATTTACTCGGCCATTCAGAGCAGGTACTCGTAGGACAGTATCCAGCAAACATCAAAATCAATGGACTAAGCAAAAGGGCATTATAAATAACAACAACCACCCACTCCAAGCTGGCCAGGATTGACAAAAGTATACTTAAATGATCCGAATGATACTATGATCCGAAAGCCTGTCAATAGAGTTGACTGTTTTCCTTCATCCGTGAAGACAGTGGGACCGGGTAACGATCTCCCAACAACCAGAGGCGGCTACCCCAACAAAAAAGAAGAATTTTTAAAGGATATGTATTACGTAGGTATTGCGTAAAGTGGTCATATTTTCTGTCAACGAAATTTCCACTTTGGAAAAAAAAAAGAACACCTCCGACGGGACTCGAACCCGCAACCCCCGGCTTAGGAGGCCGATGTCTTATCCATTAGACTACGGAGGCTTCTACTTCCCCGAGGAGATTTATACAATATATTCCTTGTATTTTAAAACTATATCGGTGTTATCCATTCCAAACAAAATTATCCATTTTTTCCCTCCCCCATTGGCGTTCTCAATGCCACTGCAACAAATTTCAACTAAAAAAACTACAGCACTGAGTCAAGTCACCTTTTAAAGACGGTCAATTTCTTTATCGTCAGTGTAGTGATTTTTCTTGCAAACAATAGAGGGCGCTCTAGCAAAGATAGATGTGTGTACGTACGTACGTCTGCCAAGCGCGGGCCGACTTGACTGGGTGCAATCATCCAGTCGTGGGATACATGTGGCGGATTCATTTTGGAAAAAATAATGTAAACCAAAAATCACATTTACACCAAAGTGTCGAATATAATGCAGTCCCCTCAGGAAGCACATTTGCACTTATCTAAGAAATTCCTACAGTTTTGAAATTCTTAAATTTGATAAATTCAAGCTTTTTTCCACTGGTGTACAAGCTTTTTGTAAGGAAATTATTTTGTTACTTTTGGTGCATTTAAAAATAGTTCACTCTGCACGATGCAAATCTAAAAATTAGGGCAAATCGAATTTTGTTGCACTTTACACCGGGTAGGTAAACTCAACACTTAATTATGAATGGAAATGTTGACGGCGCGCGTGATGAAATATCACTCACTTGTGAAGTATGAGGTTAAAAAAATGGTTCTAGCAAGGCACCAGAGGCAAAAAATTAAAGAGCACCACATAAAAGTACGTCAACAATATTGTCGGTCACTCTCCACAGTGAGGAAGCTTTGTTTTTCTCCATTCCCTCCAATGTTACGGCTACTGCTTAACAGGCTACGCAGGTGATCCACCTGACCCACAAATAAAGCAGCGATCATCCGGATCACAACAGCACATGATGTACATTGATATGTATGGACATTTTTGTGTTCACATTTTATTTTCATGCGATATGCACATAAGTAATCATTAGATTCTGTGTCACAATCTGTAATTAAAAAAAGCTTAAACAAGTTTTTATTTTGAACCAGTCAACAGGTTCACCAGCTTATTTGGGTGGGAGTCGAACCCATGACCTCCTGCTTATTAGTGCAAGCATCTTCGATCCAAACATCTCCCCGATGTGAAGTACATCTTTGGAAATAGTAAACCATGTCTTGTTTCTACATACATGTAGCTCATAATACATGGGAAGTCTACTCGGGCATGCAGTAAGACCTTTCCAGGTGAATAAGCACAGCACCTTTCTGTAAGCATCTAAGGCACCAAATAACAAGTCAGGAATGCACTTCAGCATTTCACACAATAAAGGTGTGCCAAAAGTTTTAACAAAAAGACGTATTGTCCAATTTTTTATAGATGGGTATGTAGTGAATGAAATCAAAAGGTAAGAATACTTGACTGGTACACACTGTCGCATACGCTATGTACAATAATGTATCCAAACTAAAAACTATCGTACTGACAGGTGATGACGTCACTCGACAGAGGGTATTTGTGAGCATCATTGGTCAGCGAGATGTCTACGTTTCTTGGCCGTATTCATGTAAGGTCTTGACACCCACTCTGTATCTCCGGGATCTTCCTTCTCAATGGTGCCTAGCCGGATTTCATACACTGTATAATGAAAGGAGTTGTGAAAGAAATTATGATAACTGGCAAGTCTATGGAGAAGACAAAGTACAACGGATGGGAAGAGGTTTGCCGTCAGGCCCTTGCATTTCTTTCTTAACCCTAACCTTCCTCAATCCTTCACCTGTTGGAGGACTGAGGAGTGTTAGGGTTAAAACAGTTATTCAATTAATCTGATGTATATTAATGTTGTAATCAGGGCATCTGTTTATGTTCTAACAGCAACTTTACTAACCTAACCTGGGAAGAGGTTTGCCGTCAGGCCCTTGCATTTCTGTCTTAAACAGTTATTCAATTAATCTGATGTATATTAATGTTGTAATCAGGGCATCTGTTCATGTTCAGGCCCTTGCATTTCTGTCTTAAACAGTTATTCAATTAATCTGATGTATATTAATGTTGTAATCAGGGCATCTGTTCATGTTCAGGCCCTTGCATTTCTGTCTTAAACAGTTATTCAATTAATCTGATGTATATTAATGTTGTAATCAGGGCATCTGTTCATGTTCTAACAGCAACTTGACTAACCTAATCCCTATCTACAACTTTCATCTACTCAAATCCATAAAGCTAACAATTATTATATTCTTCGTCTGCACTTACATTTCATTTCAAATCTAGGCCCAACCTCTGACAGTTCAATGTTTCTGTGGTCTGTCTTCTTGTAGACGTGATGCCTGGAACAAATGAACATGACTCGGCATTGTGAAGTGACAAAAAAAACGTGTAAACTTATTCCAATACAAACTTGTCTAAATATGAACATCCCATTTTTATTGAAATGATCCACCATTCGACCAGAATCCAGAGGAAGCACCTTTAGTCCCCTTTGCCCAACTTCATACAAGTCACAGAGTTGAGAATACCCCCCTCCAGCCACAGAAAAACCAATGCCGATAAAATCAATGTAATTCAAGGCCAGTAACAGCTGATCTCCAATATCACAGTAAATTTTCTTCAAGACAATTTCTCTCAGGTGAATCATTTATAATTTTGTGCATACACCTGTAGGTTCTGATGCCAGATTGATCACACTTCCAAGCCTGACCAATCAGATTCTAGGGAAACAATTTCCACACTGCAGAACAACCAATGAAATCTCCATGTTCAGAATACCATTGCCTGTCCTGATTCACAAGGACAGGAATCCAGTCTACTTGCCCAACTGTTATAAAAATAATTGTCACCTGAAGGATATCACGTCATCTTGGTTGGCAAACGTAATGACCCGTTTGCTGTCTTCCTTTGGCACAGGAAACAAATACTTGAGTATGTTCATGACCTGCCCATTCAAAAATAAACAAGAACACAAAAATTCATTTTTTTCCACTGCATGCTGTCGCAAAGTCAGTTTTGAAATGATCTTTAATTTTGACTTCAGCAGGCACAAAATGGAGAACAAGTTGGCTGACTTCAAATAAGAACAGTAATTTAGCAATTAGCCTACAGGAAAATCACTTCTACGGTTAATTTTCCAATCACTTACCCTTTCTCCAAGTTTTGACTTGAAGTTGTGGAATATTAGATGTGGATAGACTTCAGACATGGTTCCGATATTTGGTATGTCATGCCTCATGACCGTGTTGAGCAGAGTAAAGAAGGCTGTTGGACCGTAAGGCAGGTGGCACACCTGCAAAGCATCTGACGAAAACAAGATTGAGGAATGATCAATCCAAGTCATGGAAAATTTTGACCTCCTTTTTGCCAATCCACAATTAAATGTTACAGAAAGATGGCAGATTTGACGATGTTAAGCAAGCTGAGTCATTAAATGGATCTGTTGTTTCCCTTTATTTAAAAGGGAATAAACAATCTCGAAGTTAGCAAAACATGAAATAATTGTGCCTCTAACAAATATCCCAACAGAAAAATTCTTTTGAATACCCACATCTGTCTTTGTCAATGAATCAATGGCTACCGTCAAATGCTAAGCAGCAGGTATGGATTACCAAGACATTAGATGTTCTTCATAAGTTAGAACTTTACAACAATTGCTCATCTGAGACTATCCTTCTAAACGATCAGTAACTGCGTAGCCTTTGATGAACACTCTGCATCACATACTCGACACAAAACTATCACAAATGAAATCTTTCATGCTTAACTCTTATCAGCAAAACGAAAATATGGAAGCCCAATACAAACCTGGCACTCCCCGATGCTCATGAATAATCAAGAGATCTGTGACCTCATTGGCCCGGCAAGCCTGAACTAACTGAGACACATCGTAGTTACCACGGTTCAGCCGCTGAGCATTGGGGAAAATCAGCTTGACTTCCTGCACATATCAAAATTTCACAGGTGAACTTAATAACAAAGAGTGTTCCATGATTGGTCGATATTGACAGGTCACACCTTATTCAGTTGTTTGTTACAGCAGAAGACAAATTTTATCTTAAAGATTCAAATCTCCTACTGTGTCCTGTTGTTCTGATAGAAATGTCTTTGTGATGCTTAAGGAAATCCAAATGACATTGAATAGTCACAGCTGCAAAACAATTTCAATTCCTGACAATATCCACAATAACATCACAATCAAACAATGCTAAAAATCGCTGCAAATGGCCAAAGCTAATTTGGTGATAATGTATTGTCATTACAATTTCTATCTTCTGCTTATCACAAACAACGAAACTTGTACAATGCAATTATGCCCTGGAACATATCAGTCCATTCCATTAACAAGCAAATTAGAGTAACAGAGATAACCATGAATTTTTAAAATAAATAAGCACAGGATTTCTACATCTGACATCATGCGAATCTGACTGGTTCATAACTAACTTTGGCAAACTGTTTGAGTTTGGAACTGGGATCCCTGGAGGTTGTCAACATTATCTTGGGATCTTCAACCCCGGCCCATCGGTACTCATCATCGATGTGACTGTACTCTGCATTGAACAAGAGCAAACAAAAGGGCGCACACTTACAAAAAAAAATACAAAGCAAAATTAAAAAAAGCAAAATCATCAAGACAAGCGAGTTGATAATCTCATGGCTGTGAATCGGGGGCAGATCCAGCTAGATTTCTTGAAGCACATAAAATCAAGGAAAAAAAGGGTTCTAGACCCATTGTGTTCCAGTCTAATCCTGAATTTTATTGAAGCTAAATCCATAAATGATATCTGTTAAAGACCATGGCAAATATTAGAGTTTTGGTACTTAAGGCTTAGAAAGGTTGGGGATATGGTTAAAATATATGTCCTCTGATGAAGTCTTCTGCATGACAAACTGTAATTACACTGAAATTGAAAATCAAGTTCAAGCCAGGTAATCTTTTCCATCTCCACAACCAGACAAAATTAAGATCACAGAAAGTCATCCCACCTTGTCCGCCTTCATCATCATATGCAAGAGCCTTCTGTAAACTCAAAGCATCTTTCCTCAGCTCAGTAGGTATTGGTTTGTTCTCTGAATACAGGGTGGAATAAACATGAAGGTCAAAGGGCAAATGCATACATAAATCCTGACATTTAAACAAACAACTTTCAATAAAATCGTGGTTTTCATATCATTCTTACAGCTCAACAGTATCAGAACTTTTTCAGAATCTAGCTTAAATAATCGCAAATGGTTAGGTTGCAAATTTTCTACTGTGCACTTTTTTAATAAACCAAAAAACGATGTTTTCATACATGTACATTTGAGAGAAGAACGCTGCACAAGATTTGTAGCTAAGACAAAAATCATGACATGGACCCTTTAAATGTTGACAGTGAGTGTGTACAAACCATCCAAGGCTTCCTTAAGCTTTCGCTTTCTTTCACTGATGATGCGATCTTTAGACTCTAGGGATTTCCGATACAGGTATTCCCTCCGTTGTCTTGCTTGCCGTCGCAACTGACAAATATGATCAGAAACGTAATTATAGCTTACTACATCACTATCCTAAAATTAAGGAACATGCTGTCTCACTGATGATCAAAACTGTTCGATCATCAGTGGTCATGCTGCACTATCCAGTAACTTCTATCATTGACAGTCAATCACTTCTTTCTAATTAATTGCTGTGTGGAAGCACGGTGGAAGATTGCTCTACAAAGGCAGAGTAAACATCAGAAAGTTTGTCCAGCAATTCCCCACCATGTCCATAATCGATAACACTCAGCACATGCATCAGAAGGCCAGGCCTACCCCAGAACTACGGGCTCAGTGAGGTGGAGCAAGGAGACCTACAGAATACTGTACAGTCAAACTTCGTTAACAAGAGCACCGTGAATACAAGATTCTGCTTGAGCCTGTTACGCCCCAACTATAGCATCTGTCCTAACTATAGTTGGGACAGTCCCAATTACTGTGCTGCAGTTGGACTGGCCCAACTGTAGTTGACCAATCTCAATAGAAATTTGTCTCAATTTTCTCCAAGTTAATGCACTTCACACCTGACATAATTCATCTAACATATGGCATCTATAGGAAAACTCATTTCTACAAGCACAAGTTGTTGATGTAAACAAAATGACTTTGGCACATGCACACACTGGACCTCTGTGCTGTAGTTGGGATTTATGCTGTAGCTGGGGCGTAACAGGCCTATAACAAGGAAAATGTTAGGTCTCAATCCTTTATTTTTCATTGTTTGAATTCCTACAACTACAAGGTTCTTTAAAAAGGTTACAACTTGCTGAAGGGCATCTTATTATTAATGAGGTTCAGCTGTCATGACTGTACCAACTAGCAAATAAGGCAGCTAGCTGGCTAGATTTAGCTAAATTTTTAATTTTTAGGGTAAATTTTTAATCACGTCATTCGATAGGTCCTATGCCGGCTGTGGCCAAGTGGTTAATTTCAGAACAACAGAAACATCAACTAAAAGTCTCTGATGGCGTAAGCGCGCCCTCTATCACCTCAAAAGGTGACCTAACGTAACGTTAAGAATAATTCATTTTCGACCGACTCTGACTGAGACTCTGACAACACCCGACATAGGCAAGGTTATTTTCGTGTTTTGTTTGCTAAATATAAAATAGAACAATCTTTAGCAAAATACACAACCAGTCACGAAATTACGGCGAAAAAAGTAATACAACGACACAACCTCACGAAGTTTTACTCACCATAATTTTTGACCCACACACGTGCTGCTGGTTCGTGTCGTATGCTTGTCCAATACTATCTTACTCATCTATATTATCATTGGCCAAAGAACCCACTGGTAAGTGATATCGGCCAATAGAAACCGCCCTTAAAGGCACCGGCCTAACTGAAAAATAACTCTTGAGGGCGACTTTTGGGTCATTCACTTTTGTGTCATTTTGTGTGATTTGTTACGCAGCTTCTGTCTGTTGAAAATGTAAGACGTGAAGAAGGTTTACAAACTCCATTCCAAGTCACCAGGAATAATTCAGAGTATAAAATGGTAATTTTGCATTCTTTATGTTACAGTCACTTGTTTATTTTACCGAGGAGATTTACTAGGCCTAGCTAGGCCTAGGCCTATCTGTTAATTGACAATGACATGAATCATTGAATCACATGAGTGCAAAGGCAGTTCGTAAACGTTTTTGTCGCATGTGTTTGTTATGTATCATGTTCGAAGCAGGTCAACTCGTACGCCACCCAACTTGTAAACCGACCAACTCGTACGCCACCCAACTCGTAAACCAACCAACTCGTATGCCTAGTAGTATAACTAATGTTATTAGAAACCTCCTTAATAATTCCCGTCACTACCTTGACTGATAACGGGGATCCTACTTTCACCTACACCCCCAACAGTGTGAATGAAGATTTGAGTAATTTAAGTACGCACTGCAAAGCTGTAGAGAAGCTCTGTTTCATTTGAAAAATTACAGAATTGTTCCCGTAAAATTACGGAACAAATCCGTAATTTTACTGGAAATGTCCATTACGGACACCGTAAATTTACGGACATTTTTTACAGTGATGTGACCAATCTTTAAGGATATCTAAGCAAAATCTAAAGATACCAGTCTTGACCTAAAAAGAAAAAAGTAATGAACAATCAGCTTATCTGGTAATTTACATTTAATTGATTTACATCTAATGGTAAATTTGGTTGAAACACGGCAGCAAAAGCTTGTACGAGGTTAAGGCTCCGACGCACATGTGAACTGCCAGAGTTGGGCGGCGTACGAGTTGGTCAGCGTACGAGTTGGTCGGCGTACGAGTTGGTTGGCGTACGAGTTGGGGTGTACAAGTTGGTCGGCGTATGAGTTGACCAGCATTCATCATGTTGATGTTGGGTAGGCGTAGCCGACTCCCAGAACTGTGAGCCACACTCCGTGCCTCACAGTCCTAGTTCTGGGACTAGGAGTAAATATTGGGCATGTTGGTTTTTGGGTATGTTGCTTGTCATGCTTGTTGTCAAGTTGTTGGTTGCAATGAATCAGCAATCAGTCAATCTGCCCATAATCGACCTCCATGCACTCTCTGTTTCACTTTACCTTTCATCAGTTTTCTACACCTGTAAACTACAAATATGGTAAGCCTAGTTTGAGTAACTTGGACTCTGTGAATTTTTTTGCATTTTTCTTTCTTTTTTTTTGCATTTGGACATGGCCAGGTGATAGTTCAGTCCACTCTAAGTACCCTTAATCAAAGGCTTTTCTTCCATTAACCCTAACAGTCCTGAATCCTCCAATTTTAATATGATTTTGCACACTCCCTAGGGAGTTAGGGTTAATGGATTTCACTCAAAATATGTAAATAGCTTGTACATTGTTGTACCCCGAATCAAAATCCTCAGAATTCAACCCCAAACAGTACAGGTACTAATGTATGAGCTGTTTGACCGAAGTCAGTTAATGGAAGGGAAAGCCTATGAAAGGTACATGGACTCTACTATCACCCAACCATGTCCGCATCTTAAAAAAGGGGATTCGTAGAGTCCAAGTTAGTTGAACATCAACAATGGCAGAAGGATCAACAGACTATGCCTCAAGGAATGGACTCATGGCAAGCACAATAATCAATCTTGCCAGTCTGATGATCGTGCCCAGCATTTTTACATCTGTTGCAAATCTCCAACTTTGATCTCAAAGTCAAAAGTTTGAGAAATATGATGGAAGGAAACATAACCTTTTACAAAACCAGTTGTCTGCCCATGATCATGCAGTTTTTATTCTTGAAAATAAAATGTTTACCAAGTAAATATGTTTTGCTGAAATTACCCTTCTGACCTTATCAACATCCAGTACATTTTCATTCATGGCAGTTTCTGCAAAAAAAATCATACATGTATAATGCTTTATAGTCTGTCCAAAACTGAGATCCCTACTATTTGTTTGATCATACCATAACCCTCACCTTAAGAGGTACAGTGAAGTCCGCCAGGTGTAAAGCTCTGCTGTACTTTGTTGCGCTGGACAGTCAACAGCTGCTGAACAAACTGGCCATGTTAAGACAATGGGGGCAGGTCCCATGAAACAATGGCATTGTTTGATTTTGTTAAACTGAGAGCAAAAACTAGCACTAGTACCTGTATGGCCTATATTTTTTTCCCTGTGCGCGACGATATAGTCGACCTATTGGATCATGTTGCACTGGGCAGGCAAGCCACTTTGACAAATGGTACAGACTGACAGGGTTTTTAGCCAAAATACCCAGTAGGGTTAGGGTTGAAGCAGGGAAGCAATCTGTATACCACTCGTGTCATTTCCACATTTTCATAACTTATTGTATCCAATTTTAATTTTAATCCAACAGGCTCGGAATTCTGAGAAAGCAATGTGAGTAACAGAATTTCTCATCTGATTCTTTCTTTCCAGCAATTTGCCTTTTGAATCATGATAAATAAATATGTAAACGATATATTTTCTACAAGTTCTGTCTTTGAGGGTTTCTGATCTTAATCCCAAATTTCCATGTATAACATTCACATTGACTTTAATCATCGTCTGATCTTCAAGCTTGGTAATTGGAAAAATAACTTGCAGTTTTGGTAGATGTGTACGTGGATATGGAATGTCAGAAAGTCAATGTGGCCTTGTTTTGTCCCTGTGTTAGGACCAAGTTGGCACGATGGCGCCAAGCTCAGATGGAGGAAGGGAAGGTCCGGGAAAAACGACCATACCTGGCTACCGAGTGTGAGGACCTCCATAAGGCTGAGAAATGGAGGCGACAGATCATATCAGAGGTGTCGAAAAAGGTGGCACAGATACAAAACGGTTGGTTTCTGGCTGTAGGAAGATTAGACGAAACCCCCAAAATAATTATGTTTCTGACCCAATCCTTCTTTTGCAAAGCAGTGCACAAAAAGAAATTCCTGACCACGATCCCTTGTACTATATTTGGCTAATAGTTTAGAGCTTCCAGAAGAAGCCATTTGGCCTCATTTGTTTGCAAACAAGACAAATTATCACATTGACCACTGTGGACCCAGGATTTCTTTTTGAAACGAATACATACACAAATAATTGCTGTTCCCAGCAAAAAAATGTGAAAATAAACATTTATCATTCTGTTCTTTATTTCCGCCCTTATTTTCTTTCTTGGATAGCTGGCCTTGGCGAGTTCCGTCTTCGAGACTTGAACGACGAAATCAACAAACTCCTCAGGGAGAAGACCCACTGGGAAGCGCGAATCGTTGAACTTGGTGGACCAGATTATCGAGTGAGTATATAATACTTCAAATGAGTAGTTCCAATCTTGTCCACTCCTTATTTAACTAGGATATGATCATCCTCTAGTGTTACAAATCTACAAAGCTCTTTACATATAGGCCATACTTCTAGAATACAAATTGATTGGACTACATTGTCATGAGCACCTCGGTATGAATTTTCCAAAGTCTGAAATGAACTCCTGATCTTGCAGAGTGCAAATTATGTCAGCAGATTAGTTTCTCGTAGGAGGAAGTGTGATTCAGTGAGAAAATATATCAATGGTAAAATGGAGCCCCGGTCAAAACAACTTGTGGTATTGTATAGATTTTGGATGAAGATGTTTGCCTTATCGTGGGGAATTTCCTCGGCAGAAAATTGGTCCCAAGATGTTGGACAAGGAAGGAAAAGAGGTACCAGGAAACAGGGGCTACAAGTACTTTGGAGCTGCCAAGGACCTGCCAGGGGTTAGAGAGCTCTTTGAGCAAGAACGTAAGTTGAAGAAACTGGCCTTAAACATCGACAGTGATTGGGTTGTCTCAAAATGTGAGAGCATTTGTTGAGAGATTGTTGTCTCAATCTAGTGAGAGCAATCAGACTTAATGTTGTGATACTCAGGGAGCATTCCCTCTGCCTGTCAAGGTGGG